GGCCAGATGTGCAGGAGGGTGAGAGGATTCACCAGAGACAGACTGGGGAACAGAACAGGCAGACTGACGAAATACACTGCTGAGGGGAGCAGCGGGCGAGACAGGAGAGGTCTGCTCGCCATGTGGGTTGCTCCAAGGCCAGCAGGGATCGAACCGGCACTGCAGAGGTTGCAGACAGCTTCACAACACTGCACTCAACTGCCTGCGCCACCAGGGAGGCCCTCACAGTTACCCTTTTTGGTATGAGAGTATTTAAACCCTGCTCTCCGCAAGTGGCAAATTAGTACTTTCTTTTCTTTTTTTTTTAAAGATTTATTTATTTTTATACAGAGCTGGGGTACAGGCCAGAGGTGCGGGAGGGTGAGAGGATTCACCAGGGACAACGTGGGGAACAGAGCAGGCAGACTGACTGATATACACTGCTGAGGGGAGCAGCGGTTAACACAGGAGAGGTCTGCTGTGCCATGTGGGATTCTTGTGGGCCGACGGGATTTAACCCACACTGCAGAGGACAGCTTCACAGAGCTGTGCTCAACCCACTGCACCACAGGGGAGGCCCAGCAAATTAGAACTTTCTTGCTATGTAAATCTCTTAACTTTCTAACAAAAAAAAAAAAAAAAAATTCAGTGAGGTTATGTGATGGGATTGGGATGTTTGTTTCATTCTTAAACCTTTCTGAATCTAAGAAAATGTTCTTACATACATTAGAAGACGTTTATCATCTCAATCATTTACTACATACAGCAGACATAGGTCTACAAATACAATATATAGTAAAATCAGAAGGAAAGCCTGGAATTATACCTACTTGAGCAAATATAACTAAACACATTTTGCAAGAAGACAGGAGCTCTCTTTGGGTGACAAACATATTACATTGTACTTTTACTAGAAATATTTCTATTTCAGAAGGTATGAATCTAACCTCACTGTTTGTAAAATACCATACTTGTGAGCAGTGCAGTAGTAAGTCTGTCTGAAAAGCATTTGTCATTTGCTGCACCAACTGGTCATGGATTAAAATTTCTCTGTGAAAGTTTTCTCTCACAAATAATAAAGAAAAGACATGAAGCACATAAATAAAAGCTCCTCAATAAAACTATTTCACATAAATGAAGCACCTCAATAAGACTATTTCCAGTGACATGCTGTGAGCCCAAGTCTCTGATACAGTCCAAAGGACAAGTAAACCCAATTGTTCTATTTTCTTTTTTTTTCCTGTTTTCATTTTGAATAAAATAAAGCTATTTGATAAAGTTAAAATTTCAAATTTTGGGAAAAGAAATTAAATAGAATATTAAGTAATAAAATTGTAATCTGCTTTTAGTGTACGAATTAAAGTTATTTATTATTATGACGTACACATGCCATATTTACAGACTCCCAAAGCCCTGTTTCCAGCATACAGAAGACCCGCCCTCTTCTCTCATCTCATCTGCCCCCTTCCTATATTAGGCAGGCCATAGATTAGCGCTTTTTTAAAAAGTAAATGTTAAAAGAAACTTTGTTGTAATTTCTTATTCTTAGAGCAGTTCCCATATGTTCAATTTCTATGTTTAGTTACTCTGTATGTTTGTATTCCTGACTAACATACCTCTACCCTAAACACAGGTGTCAGGGTGGCACAGACTATTAAATATCTAGAAGGGGCAGGAAGTCCACCCTCTGTTGATCAACTGTATCAGTCAAGCCTGTGTGACAGAGCAGATGAGCCCACTGGTGCCCGCAGGTCATGGGGGTTGGCTTCCAGAGAGAGGAGGAGCAGATGTATTGGACAGACTGTGTACAAGGGAGGAGGCCTTGTCCACACTCGGAGTGACTGTTATTCTCTGGAACATGGTGGATTATACACACTGATCAAGCTCAGCCATTTCAAATGTTTTTAGTGATGAGCAATCAAAAAATGTTTCAAATGTTTTTAGTGATGAGCAAACAAAAAATTGAAAACCACGTCATTAAAAATATTCAGTTTTGGCTAATTTTAAGGATTTCTGATTCATAGGGAAATAAGTCCTCCATTTCCCATTTACATATAAAAATAGCTTGTATATAAGACATCATTACCATTTGACTGCAAACGATAATGCTAAAAAATGTTCATAAACATTTAATGCTGGACAACCGCCTAGTTTCACAGGGAAGTAAAGAAAGCAGCTTGTCTAAAATTATAGAGATGAGAACCAAATTTGCTAAAACAGAGAGTTCAGTGTCTTTTGGCTACTATTCCATATAGTATATCAGAAAAAAACAAAATGATAATATCCTTAGAATAAACACACACTTTCATAAAAATCACTATGGAAATGGACATTTTGGCACAATGATATGTCTAGGCAGATATATTTTGACTTCTTAGTTTAAGACTGACTTTAAAAATTAATTCCTAAATCATTATTATATTAAATACCTGTTATTATACTAAAGCAAGTATCTTCAAGAAATTCTTATATAAAGTTAATGTTTCTCTTTAACAAAATAATATAGGAGCTAAACACTGGAAATCTTCTAATCTTTTGTGAAGAACAATTTCAAGCCTTTAATGATTATAAAGTACCTCTTCCCGTTAGCTCAAAAGTAAATCAAGACATGAGAATTTTGATGACTTACAAATATTCTGCCATTTTGACAGATATCCCTTCTGACTAATCTAGTGGAGAAGCGACAGTCATCCCATCAATGATTTTCAAAGTATTCCATGAGATGGACTAGTATTCTACAGTTACCTAGTCTTTCTATATTATATCCATATATTTATGTTACTTTTACTTCAAATTTCTGTGAGGATGACATTTAGGATAAGAAATGAACTGCATTATTACAGTATACATGTTTAAATATTTAATATCATGTAAAGAAACAGATACTTTAAATGTGCTTGGGAACATTTTATAAATGCACCTTAAATAAAATAACTTAGATTTTTCTTCATTACCTGCATAGAAATCTCAGCTATTTCTTTATCAAAAGGCTGTGAGTTTTAAAAAATAATTCCTAATTTTTTTATAATTTTGAAACTGGTATCTTTTTAAGTATTTGGTTTTAATATACAAGATAGACAATTATATTTATTGTTATACCTGAATTATTTTGGAAAAGTGCAGATTTCTAGATCTGGTGACATAAGATTTTTTTTTTTTCAGAGTATGCTTAACTTATTTTATTTTATTTTTTTAATATTTTATTTATATAATTCTTACATCATTTTTAATCTTTGCACAATGTATGCATTTTCGTTTTGGTTATATTCCCCATACAATTGCACCTCCCCCCTTATTTTGACTCTAGTCCTTCCTTTCCCCGCCCCTCCCTCCCGCCCCCCGTAGTGTGTTTCTGGTTTATAGCTGCTTGTTGATTTTGATTTTTACTTTGTATTGATTAGTCTTTTTCCTGGTCTCTTATTTAGGTTTTCTAAATTCCTGCTATGGTGACCTAAGACTTTAAAACTGCAGATCCTACCAATTTATATGAGGATACTTCAGTCACATCTAGTTACATGCAATGTCAAGTCTCCCCTTGGCCATTAGTATGCTGCTTGCTCACTGAGAAAAACAGGGAACTAGAAGTCAGAAGACTAATGTTGTGGACTTACCTCTGCTACCAACTAGCTTCTGATCCATCATGCAAGTCACAGACCTTTCCTGAATTTGAATTTACTCCTGTGTAGGCTGAACAGGCAGAACTTGATGATATTCTGCCTATTATCTAGAGGGTTCTTTCTCATACCACAGGCTACCAGTCCCTATCTCTGAAATCTGTTGCACAGTCCATCCAAAAGTCTACCGGCTAGCAGCCTTGAAAAACCCCATACATGGCTGAGCTGACTGAAGTGAGCTACTATCACACTGAGCTGATGAGACTCACCTTCCCTAGAATTTGGAATTGCAATTCAGAGACAGTTATTTAGTCTCTGCTTGCAACTAAAGCTGTAACTTGGACCCTGCAGGTCTCCACCACACACATGGCGAAGCAGAGGAAGCCAGTTCACAAAGAGAAACAAAAATGAAGCTGATGTTCAGAGAAACAGTATTAGTTGAGTTCCTGATGAGTTTTCAGCTCCTGGTGTCCACTTCCTTTGAGGTATATTTCTGCTGTTAAGGTCTGCGCAGCACCACTCAAATGAGTCAAAATACATGGGAAATACAGTCTCAGAGGTGGGTAATAAAGACCAGAACACATTAGGTCTTATTAGAAATAATCTGCCACTAAACCAAAAATGGTTTAATAAGTACAGAATTTCAATTTGGGATGATGAAAACTTTTGGAGGTAGATAGGGGTAAAGTTTACACAATAACATGAAAGTATTTAATGCCACCAAATTCGACACTCATATAAACATTTTATCTTACATGTTTTATAATAATCAGATTCATTAAAAAAACTTCTTTGCATACTTAACAAGTATGGAGTGAACACACATGCATGCACATTTATAAATAAAAACTTGGGTTATGGAAATTAAGGGTATGGAATATATCCTTAATGATAGTCTGAGTTACCCAGTAAGATTCATATTTATAAAATCAAAAGCTTTATCCTGAAAATAAACAGGTCATTTTGAAGCCACAGAAATCTTTTGGGTCACAAGGGCACTCCTTAATTAGTGACTCAGCAACTGAGATATATGACTGACAGAACCTGTTCTCACCCCAAGTAATACAAGTTCTTTAAAGGCCCAGATGTACACTTTCTCCAAATCAGTGCCTCTTTGCCTTTTCTGTTAAAAGGTAAAAATTTAAAGACAAGCAAATAGAAAAAGCACAGACAAAAGTAAAAAAAAAAGACATATCCAAGGCAAACCCAATACTGAGATCTACTCAAAGATTTCATGAACTCAAATTTCATCAGTTTGCAGAGAGCAAGCAATGCACAAATACGCATTTCCATACTCTGGTATTCTAGTACTCACCAATGTAGTCCTAAAGACTTTTACTACACCTAACTAATCATGAACATTCAATCATTTTCAAGATCCCTTAAAATTTAAAATTAAATACCTACTGTTGATCAGTTCTTTGTGTTCAGCCAGGGTTTTTGCAGGATCCAACCAATACTGTGTGAGGGAGAAAAGGGTAATTATAAAGAAATTAGTTGCTTTTCACTGTTCTTTACTTCAAGAATATTTACACAGTGTTAATTTGCATTGCATTTAAATACTTAAAGTGTTTATTATATACACACAGAAATATGTAAGAACTTTCTATGGCTAGAACATTAAAAGAAAATGATGCTGATGTTCAGAGAAGCAGTACCTGCTGGGCTCTTGGTTGAAATCTAGTAATTTTTATAAGGTCAAGATGCTTATGAGTGAATTTTGGTGTGATAACAATGATCACAGAGAATGCTCCCTTAGTCTCTTTCCAAAGTCCTGATCACAACCTTCAAAGCCATGTTTCCCCATAAAAAGCTCTCACCTTCTTTACCTCTAGTCCCATCCCTTATAGGTGTTGTTGCTAAAGTTAGAAAGAAAGCAATAAGTTAAATCAAATACTTAATGAGTACCCAAGAGAGGCAACTCAATACAGCAGCTGAGGGTCTGAGTCCCAGAACAAGCACATTTGAATTCCATCCTGGCCCCTCCACTCACACATGCCCTCAGTCATCCCTATGTAACTTGAAACAGCTTCCTGGACATCTCTAAGCCTTCCTCATAGGTTTGTAGTGAGTATTTCAAAAGTTAATTCATATAAAGTCTTCAGAATAGGCCCTGGTTCTTACTAAATATCCAAAACATGCTAGTGATGATTATGACTAAGATACAGGGTTCATTCAGGAAGTACTTTTAGTTAGTCTAAGGAGCTTGCTTATTAATTTACATCAATCTCTAATGAACAAAATTTCAGACAATGATAGAATTTTTGACCCGGGAGAGAAGTTCTGTCTTTCCCTTCAAATATCACCTTTATGCAAGTAAATCACTGAAAGAAAAAGCAACAAGCTTCAGTTTCATCTTTCCATCTACAGGGGAAACAAACAAAACACAAAAGGGCACGGGGGTTTCCCATAGAAGTTCACAGATGGAGGAATTCTAGCACCCTCTTGGGTCAGGGAACAGAGATGAGCCCTCTCCCCTACAGTCCCTACCCAATCCTGGAGGTTAACCAGATTCTGTGTTCTCATATTCCTGAATGAACAAGGGGAATTCTCACAGCAAGATAGAAGCTGGCCTACAGTGAGCCTCTTCATTCCTAGAACTATGTTTACCTTGGTGAAAATATTCGCAGTCCCCGAACACCGTGGATCAGGAATCACAGGTGTCTAAGAGTTTTTTACTCAGTCCCTGCTTTCTGCCCCTCAGCTGAGGGTAGAAATATTCGCTTGGCTATTTAACCATAGCAATAATTATAAATAGTAATTACAATATTTTATATAATACCCTACCTTTATTCCTAATATAGTAACAACTATTCATACCAAACATATGTCAGTCATTTCATTGTAAGATTTTATTACACGACTAAATCCTTTTATGTATATATAATCTTCACTATTTGCCATGTTTTTTCAACTTTTTTAAAAAAGTAACCAGTTCCAATGTTCACTGAAGCACTATTTACAATACCCAAGTTATGATAACCACCTAATTGCCCAGCAACAGATGAGTGGATTAAGAAGATGTGGTATATAATACACTATAGAATACCACTCTGATACTTAAAAAATGTTGAAATCTTGGGACAATATAGAAGAAACTGGGAGGGGAGGGGGCTTGCTCAGCAAAATATGTCAGAATGAGAAAGAAAAATACTGATGATTTCACTCATATGTGGACTATTAGAAAAAAAAGCAAAGGAACTAACAAAACAAAACAAAAACAAACCCTAGAAATATGACAGAGGCTACCAAAAGAGGAAGGTGGGGAAGAAGAAAAGGGACAGGGTCCCAGTGAGAAATTATCGGAGCTTTGGTAGTGGGTGTGGTATTATACATTTGAAAAGGTGTGCATGTGTACCCTAAAACACATACAGTATTGTAAGTCAATATTACCTCAATAAAAATTATTTAATTTAAAATGAAAGTAACCAGTATGTACAAATGTAGCAGCTTATAATACAATATCCATTATTCCACTCCTTATCACGTCTCAATTTTTAAAGTCTAGAATACTCATTTTTAAAATAATAGAGGGCTTCTCTGGTGGTGCAGCAGTTGAGCACTGGGCTGCGAGGCTACCCACAGCCTCTGCAGCACCGGTTCAATCCCCAGCCCCCAGGCAAGGGTCCCACATGGCACACAGACCTCTCCTGCCGCGCCTTCTGCTCCCCTCAGCAGTGTACTTCATCAGTCTGCCTGCCTCTGCTCCCTGCTCTGGCTCTGGTGAATTCTCTCACCCTCCCGCGCTTCTGACTGTGCCCAGTGCTTGTATAAATAAATAAATAAATAAATCTTTAAAAAAGTAAAATAAAATAATAGATACATTTGAAGCAAAGTCTATAATTAGCAAACTAATCTTACACCCACAGTGACCAAAGCTGTGGCTGTGGTGTTAAAATAATGACTTTGAGGGCCTCCCTGGTGGCGCAAGGGGTTAAGACAGCATTGTGAGGCTATCTGCAGCTACCACAGCATGAGTTTGATCCCTGGCCTGGGAGCTGACTCACATGGCACAGCAGACCTCTCCTGTCTCTCCCGCTGCTCCCCTCAGCAGTGTATTTCAGTCAATCCACCTCTTCTGCTCCCCACTCTATCTGTGGTGAATACTATCACCCTCCACACCTCTGGCCTATACCCCAGCTCTTGCATGCATAAATAAATTTTTAAAAAAAATGACTTTGAGGGAAACACTGATCCATTCAAGTAAAAGCAGTTCAAATATTAACTTCTGTGTTGAACAATTTATGTGTTCCTCTATATTGAAATAAACTATGAATGCTTCTTATGAAATGGAGACATTAGGTGAGCAGACTGTTTCTTGTCATTAATGGTAAATAAAAACATTTGATTATCTCTGGATTTTTCAAGGAGCATAAAACCAAGAAAAACACACACAAGTACCCATGAACACTTGCATTTGACTTCTATTGCTGAAACAAGTTATCACCAGCTTAGAGTCTTACAAAATACCCATTTATGATCTCAAAGTTTCGTAGATCAGTTAGTTGGTTGCTTTGCGTTAGACTTTACAAGACCAAAATTAAGGTCTGGCTGGGGTCCTACAGAACTACTTGGCCAGGGAACCTCATTGATGAGGGCACTTTAGGAAGGGAACTGGAAGCTGGGCCACTAGAGGTGCTCCAGTTTCCAGCATGTTAAAGTACAGAAAACATTAAGGCCTTAATTTTGGGCCTCCCATCACATTTACACGTGAGAATTCAGTACATGCTGGTGTGCAGAATAGAGAGGAGAAGGGACCAAATGGGACCCTGGTCTTACCGTCAGTCTAATCTTGAAACTAGTACGGAATAAACACTGAATTATCTTCCAACAAATTCTCAAGAAAAACTTTACAGATTCCTCAAACCATTTTTTCTTTTGCTTCCAGAATGTTAAGTCATTAAAAAAGATTAGAAAAAACACAGGGTGGAAATTTCTAACTAAATTTAATAGAAAAGATTGATTAAGCTATTATAAAATTTCATATTATTATAATCTCTACAATTTTAAATAAGGTTCTTTTCCTGAAAGCAATCAAAAATGTGAAATGAAAAAGTATAATGAAAGTTCTGAGATGAGTTAGAAATTATAATTTTGCAGCAAGAATCAAGATTCAAGGGCTATTCAATAAACTCATTACACATTAGATATGCTGAGCATACACATTACATATTAGATATGCTAAACATATACCAAAAACTCACTATGCACAAATCTCATCTGATTGAAATGGAAAACAGGGATTACAGAGGTCAGACTATGAAAATGTCCCAGTTCACAAATAATAAACTGGAGCCACCAGGTTCCATAATCTAACATCTTGAACTGTAAAACTCACTTACACTCAACCACAGCAAAGAAATGACCTTGGAACCAAAGCAATCATAATAAAGGTACTTATCAATACTTACCATCAATAAGCTATCAATCATAGCACATGTCTGATTTTGAAGCACATCAAGCTGCTACTCCATAGCCAGAGAAAAGTTTGTATAAGAATTTGCTAATGAGCATAATACCCCAATTTTAAGGCCTATACTCAGAATATGTTCGGATATTTCCTCAACCAACATTTATGGAAAACTGCACAACAAATGTTCTTGATATATTGTGACTGACTCCATACTGGGACTGTAGGAAGACAAAGATAATGGCACCTGCCCCTAACTTTGATACCATAAGGCACCCACAGTCTAACAGGAGATAAACAGACATGGAATTATAATACAATGTGGTAATGAGATAATAAAACTGTATAAAGAACTTGAACTCTGAAAAATCAGTGTAGGAATGCAACATTTAAACTGTTTAAATCATTAAACAGTTTGTAACTAATAAAAGATCTTCAAAAAAATACAGAAATGGAGAAGATCCACTTACAAATTTTTACAAAGATGATGTTTGCCAGTTCAACTGCTCTTAAAGCAAATGGGTCAATTTCCAAATGACAACACAGAATACAGAACTTATTGAAATCACTGCTGTCCAATACCTAAGAAATCAATATTCATGGAAGATTTCCACAAAGTAAGTGGTCTTTTCCTCTTCTATGAGTGGGATGTAAGAGGGAAGCAGAAAACTTCCCATGGAGGGAAACTGAGCAACTTTCCTGTGGTACAGGGCTAGAAAATGGCTTTTCTGAACTGCACTTTGTATGAAGATCTTTGGTGTAAAGATGAGACGCAGTCCTATTTCTTGCTTACTGTTCCTCAGAATTCAAGCAATTCCTTCTGAGGGAAAAATATCTCAATCACTTTCTTTCTCTTTTTTCCAATTAATAATCTGTGCTTTGTATATCTTCATAAGCTGGATTTGATACTATTTTGTAGGAAGCTAAAATAACAATGAACCAAACAGGCCCTCTGCTCTCATTCTAATTTCTAGTTGGCTTAGTAAAACAGGAGAATGCTAACAGACTGCAGACCCAATACCCAATCATTAAGAAATCAATCCATCAGC